ATAGTCTTTATCTACAAGATGCCCTTCTTCCTCCATCTCCCATCCCCCATTTTACAACCCCTCCCCCCAAGGACAAACCCAGGCCAGCAGCTTACAAAGTTGCCTTTATTGGTTTCCTGCTGCCTCACAGCATCAGGTCCATCCCTCCCAGGGATGTGGCATTTGAGGAGATAAATACTTATTTTGCCCCCCACGCTTTAGTGGGAGGAGGTTTAATAAAAATAGTAATATAATAATAATGACTATGATCAATAATAAAATGCCCCCCTAGGTTCCCCTAATACACAATTGGTTGAAGCTTCAAGAAAAAGGACCCCTCTTTCTGGGAAGGGCCAAAGTATGCCTGGAAACGGCCCAGTGGCCCCCAACGGGTGTCCATCTCCCACGAGAAGCCTTATAAATACCCTCCCCATCCCGTCCCTTCCTTGGAATTATCTCCCCCCACCCCTGGGGGCGGATTAGCTGACAGTGTCAATCTTGCTCCCAGTACCACCAAGCCCTTCCCAGAGAAGAGCCCCAGGGTCTGGTTCTCCCTCTCAGCTCCCTCTCCCCTCCTCTTCTTCTTGGTTCCACCTTTATCCTTCCACTCTCCTCTGGATGCCCTCTCTCACCTTCCAATCCTTATCGTCTCTTCTTCCACTTCCTCTCTCCCTCTGGCCTCTCACCTTCTTCACCTACATCCTGCCTCCTCCTTTTTCTACTCTTTTCTCTGAATCAGAGCCTGTCTGTCCCACCCTGCCCTGAGCAGAGACCCTGACATGCCCCATCTTCGTCTCAGCTGGTGGCCAGTGTTTACACAAGACCCCAGACCTGCTCCCAGAGACCTCGTCCCTCTCCATTCTCCTCACCCTGACTCTTAAAAGCACCCCAGGACTTGCCACTGGAAGGAAGGGCTTTGGCACTGTCACCCTGGGGCACCAGGGCCTTTCTATTCCCAGTGGCCAGCATAGGCTGGGGATGGGAGCCAAGGGGAAAGGCAGGATGAGGGTAGGGAGTCAGGATCCTGAGCCCTGGGAACCCAGGCAAGCCTCCTGGGCACTGCCCTCCCAGGCCCTCCCTGAGTCCAATTTCCATGTGTCCGGGACCAGCCGGAGTATGGCGTTCCTCAAGCTTTTTGCTCCCTCACATCCTTCTGTCTTGGGGTTGGGGTGGGCCCTGCAGAGTGCATCAAGGGAAGCTCTCTGACTCAGCAGCTGGTGGGAGGCTCCGGGGCCGCTCTGAGACCTAGAGGGAGAAAAGAAGCAGGGAGGAAGGGGCAGGGAAGATTGTCCTCAGCAGGCCAGTGCCTCCCAGAGGCCTCCCTAGGACCCATCACAGGGCCTTGGCAGAAGTTAGATGTGCAGTGTGGCAGGGATGGGAGTAACTGAGTCACTGGAAGAACCTGGAGAACTCCTACTCAACCCTGAGGGAACCCAAAGTCCATCATTCATTCATTCACTCCAATCAGCACCCAGTCAACAAACTGGCTTTACTCTGGGCAGAAGAACTTTGAAACCTGACTCCTACCAGCAAGGAGCCCACAGTCCACTAAAGAGCCTAGGTACCCAAAAGAAAACCAGAGCGAGGCAGGATACCCAAGGAAAGGGGTGATGGGGTGGCAGTGACCACCTAACCAAGTGGCCAGGAAAACTTCCTCTCCTCTCCAGGATCAGTGGCCAGCCTGGGTGGCCTGGGTGTTAATCAGGTTGAAGACAGAGAAGGACATTCAAAGGAGGAGGGACTGTAGGGGCAAGAGCTTGAAAGTACAGAAAAACAAGGCAAGTCTGGGGTTCTGAGTGGCCCTGTGTGGAGAGAGGAGAGAGAGAGAGAGAGAGAGTGTGTGTGTGTGTGTGTGTGTGTGTGTGTGTGTGTTGGGAGACAGATGGAGAGGTGGCTGGAAGGTGAAAGAAACTGTCTTCCCTGCTTCTACACATCTCTGCATTCTGTCCCCAGCCCCAGATTGCCACCACCGACAAAAAAAAAAAAAAAAGAGAGACCCAAGGACTCTCCCGGGGCACTTCCAATTCCAGGTAACATCACGTCATACCGATCTCACAGTATTACCTCATTTTATAGGTGAGGCAAGCCTAGGGAGTTTGGGCTCCACTGGGGCACGCAGCTAGAACAGTCAGAGCGGCCTAGGCCCACCTGCGTCCAGGGGCCGAGGCAGATAAGATTCTGCCTGTCTTAGGGTTGAGGGCAGGGAAGGGCTCAGCTTGTCCTCTGGCCTCACAACATGGGCGCAGGGCTCAGAGGAAAACAGAATGCTTGACCTTTGGATAGGGGAGGGAAAAGCCCTCCCACTGGCTCACCTGTATCTGGGATGCTGCAGGACTCAGGGATCCCTGGGGGCAAGACACTGATTCGCTGGACAGAGAAGTCCAAGGTTTCCTCTTCACTGCTCCAGGAGCAGGATTGGGGAAGAGAACAAAAGTGTCTAGGTCAGATTTGCGGGGTCCGAAGGGTTGGAGATTTGGGTTTGGAGTACGGGAAGCTGCGGGGCTGCCCTTACTGGGGTCTGTGTCTCCAGGGAGGCCGTCACTGCCCATGGACGCAGGGCGCCGCGACGCCTCGGAGAAGCTGTGGGGCCGCTGCGGGCCGGAGCTGCGGGCACCTCGGCCCTTCTCTTCCGGAGCCTGTTAAGGGACAGTGCAGGAGGCTGGCAGCGGGAAGCACAACAGACGGGATGAACCCTCGGCTCCATGCCAGGTATCAGAGGGATGAGTCACTGGCCTCAGCAGTCAGGTAACCAGAGGCCTGTGATTGGCTCGCGCTCACCCGAGAGCCCGGTGATTGGCTTGGCCCCACCAGGGAGGCTTGTGATTGGCTCCGGAGGACTTACTCGAGGCAGGTCCCGGGCGCTGTGCCTCCTGTCAGTAGGGCCCACGTGCACCAGGTGGTTGAAGTTGGTGGGCGGTGAGATAAGCTTGGAGCGCACAAAAGGGTCCTTCAGCATCTCCCTACGGGCAGAGGGGGCGTAAGGCGCAGGGCTGACGAGCTGGTGCTCGCTCCGCCCCCAATGGTGGAAGGCTCCGCCCAGCAGCGGCCCCTCATCGCGCATGCGCACCTGCGCTGCTGCTGCCGCTGCTCCGGCGAAACACGGAAGAAGAAGCGGCGCTTACTCTTTGTGCGGAACAGCTGGCGCCGGCTGTTGTCGGTGAGGTCGGGGATGTCGAACTCGTCCTTCTCTGAGAGAGAAGCAGAGAGCTGGGGGTGGGCGTGCTCACAAGCCTGCAGGGCTCCGGTCAGCTGCATTCGGGGTCACCCCCCCACACTTGTTCACCTGTGGACCCCCCGCTCCCTCACCTGCCAGCCGGTTCCTGAGGTAGGTCAGGCGGATCTTCTCGGTGCCATACAGGAAGAGGGAGCCCTCTGGGTTCAGAGGCCGCACCTGAGGCAGTAGGTGTCAGGGTCAGGCCGTGCCCCCAGCCCCACCACGTGCAGCCCCAGGGGTCTGGGCAGGCCTTCACCTTCTTGAGCGGCACCGTCTGGACCCATTCTGCTCTCCTCACGTCAAACACGTCAATGGTGTTCTCACTGAACACTGTGAGATAGGGGGCTGTGTAACCTGCAGGAGGGAAACTGCCTGTACTGTGCAGCCCCAGGCAAGCCTGGAACCTCTCTGAGCTGGATCCCGCCTCCATTCCAGGGGAAGACCCTGTGCCCTGCCACAGCACAGGGACTTCCAAGCCCCACTGCAAAGGTCCTTCCCTGAAGATGCAGGCTGCTCCGCCCTCTCCCTAAGGAGTGAGGTAACCAGGGAGCTCTCCCTACACGCCCCCACAGCGCCCTTAAGTCTCCCAACAACTCCCAGCAGGTACCACATCACCCCCAACCTGCAGAGGGACTGGAAACCCCAGAGGCACGTAATGGCCAAGGTCACCAGGCTGAAGAGGAGAGCTGGGATTTGGCCCCAGGCAGTTTGGGCCTAACACCTACAATGCTGAATGTCTGTGCTACACCCAACCTAGGCCCCACCCCAGAATGGCCTTTGATGGAAGCTCTGTCCCTCTAATCTAGCCCTTATCCTGTCACTCCATGGACGCCCCAGACCACCTCAGTGCACATTGCTCCTGACATCCATAGCCCCTAGGGTGTGCTTGCCTGGGCTGAGTGCTGGATGTGGAGGAAGAAACCAGTCCCAACCTATTCTGCAGGCTCCCAGTGCACCAAACCAGTTGAGAAGTAGGAGAAAGGAGCCCAGAAAAGAGGTGGGGGAGCAAAGAGAAGCCGAGGACAGTGACAGGAGAGGGCCCGACAGGACAGGGAGCCGGAAGGCAATAATGATGATGACAGCAGTCATGGAGTGCCTGTTAGCTCCAGGTCCTGAGGTGCCATTGGGGCTTGACTTAAGAGCTGACCATGAGCTGGGTGCAGTGGTGCATGCCTATAATCCCAGCAACCTGGAGGTTGAGGCAGGAGAATATAGAGTTCAAAACCAGCCTCAGCAACGGCAAGTCGCTAAGCAGCTCAGTGAGACTGTGTCTCTAAATAAAATACAAAATAGGGCTGATATGTGGCTCAGTGGTTAAGGGGCCCTGAGTAATCCTCAGTTTCAAACAAACAAACAAAACAGTTGGCCATGGCTGGGCACTGTGGCTCACACCCCTAATCCTAGTATTTTGGGAGTTTGAGGCAGGAGGATCAAGAGTTCAAAGCCAGCTTCAGCAACAGGGAGGCACTAAGCAGCTCAGTGAAACCCTGTCTCTAAATAAAACACAAAAAAGGGCTGAAGATGTAGCCCAGTGGTTGCGTGCCCTTGAGTTCAATCCCTAGTACTTCCTCCCTCTCCCCCCAAAAAAAGAGTTAGCCAGGTACAAGTGGAAGGAGAGCAGCACAGCACAGGGAGGGAAAAAGGAGAAATGAAGGACAGAAGAGGAAAATCCCAGGTACAACACCCAGGCAGAACAGAACATGCCAGGCTCTGGCTGCAGTGCCAAGCTCAGGAGGTTGGGCAGAACCCTGTCTTCTTCAATACAGTGCAGTGCCCAGCCCCATCCAGCCAGGCCCTCTACTGGCCTTACCCCAGCCTGTGGGTGCTGCTGGCCACAGTAACTCGTGACTGCGTGACTTGCGGCCAGTGCCATCCACGTAGACTCCAGCAGTGGTGAAGAGCAGCAAGAGCTCATTAAGGCTGAGCTCCACAGCACCCAGGGCCTCACCCAGGCCTCCACGGGATGATGGCAGCTCCTCTGGCACCAAGCCAGCCCCCAGTACCAAGGGTGCAGCCTCGTTGAGCAGCGGGTAGAGGGCGAAGGTACCCGCGGCACCCACACACAGCCGATCGCCCAGTAGCCCCAGGCTCTGCACAGATGCAGGTGCCTGAAACTCCCGGATGCGATGCTGCCAGGGCCCTGGTCCTGGGCCCAGCTGGTAGCAGAGCACCTGGCGCTTGATAGCTACACAGAGTACGGGAGTGCGCGCCTGCAGGATGCGCCCAGCTGTCAGCACCTGGCAGCCTCGGGACTCGGGGATCTTGGCACCTGTTGCATCAGTGCTTTCCAGCTCTGAGAGGGCAAAGAGGCGCACGCTAGGGCCACGGCCACACAGCACAACCAGCAGGCCTGCAGAGGGGCTGACAGCCAGCTGCTGCACCCGGCGGCACTCTCCCACCTGGAAGATGTCTGGGGAGTGGGGAAAAAAGCAGGTGGGTGAGAAGCAACCCAGTCCCCATCCTCCTCCACACTCTGGGGCTGGCTCCATCCACCAACCCTGGCCCAACCCTTCATGTACCATTGCTGTGCAGATGGATCACATAGAGCCCCTCCTCTGTGCCCAAGGCAAGCCGCTCCTGGTCTGGGAGGGGAAGAGGGTCTAGGGTCAGAGGGCCAAACCAGATTGGGGAGTCAGGGCATTCGCTTGCCTTGCCGAGTCTCTTGTTTCTTGAGGTGATGGGGGCGAGAATCCTGTTCATTGTCCCCTCAGTGGGCAGGTCACTCCCACAGTCTGGGCTGACTTAAAAGGGAAGGGCCTCCACTGCAGGGGTCAGGGTGAGAGCCCACCATCTTGAACTGTGGGATTCTGGGTACATCATGTCACCTTTTGGAACCTCCTTTTCCCCTTACATAAACTAAAGACCTGTAAACAGGTGCTGTGCAGAGGAGATGAAGTAGTGTGGGACAAGCACCAAGCACAACCCCTTGCCAAGGAACAACCCCTTGCCAGTCTCTGGCTCCACAGTCTCTCCTGTGGCTTCTACCCTAAGTGACTTGCATGGCTCGAGCTGGCTCAGGACCTCGGCTGTTGGGGAAGCCAAAGATCTCTGCTTCACACCTGCTGAGGCCAGGCTCCCAGCTAAATCCAAGTGAATCTGGCAGCTCCACACTGGAGACATTGCGAGGCTTCAGGTGGTTCTGTGGCTCTTCCATGGTCACCCATCAGCTGGCAGGACAACCAGGACTGGGACCCTCGTTTATCTTTTTTCCCCCCAGTAGAGGGGATGGAAGCCAGTGGTGGTCCTACTGAGCTACATCCCAGTCATTTTTATTTTAAGACACAGTCTTGCTAAGTTGCCCAGGCTGGCTTTGAACTTGTGATTTTTTTTTTCTTTTTTTGCAGGGGGTGGGAGGGATACTGTACTGGGTATTGAACCCAGGAGTATTTTACTACTGATCTATATGACCAGCCTTTTTAAATTTTTTTTTTTAATATAGTCTTGCTAAGTTCCTGAGGGTCTTGCTAAATTGCTGAGACTGGCCTTGAATTCGAGATCCTCCTGAGTCACTGTGATTACAGGAGTGCACCACCATTCCTGGCTCATTTGTCAATTTCTAAAGCCTTTGCTCCTCCAATCACGAGATTCTTTTAGTAAAAGCCGAAACTGAGGCACAGAGAAATGGAGTGGCAAGAAGCCAGGTCCCCTGGCCCCTGGCTCTTCACATATCTGTGCCCACGGGCAGACTGAGAGAGTGTGTGTGCAGGGTGGAATCTGCAGCTCTTAGAAAGGGCACTGACAGTGGCCTTAATGATCATCTGGGCCAGCTCCTCCCTGCAGGCCTGGACTTTCTCCCCAACCTACTTAGGAGTTCCCTCAGCAAGAGGCTCACCGATGACAGCGGCGCAGAATGTGTGGGGCAGGAGTGGCAGCCCGTTGTCGTAGGCCTCCTTGAGTGTGTACACAGGCCGGGGCCTTGGCCGTGTGTCCAGCAGCAGCCGCTGCAGCTCACCCAGCACCTGCAGCCATCGCTCCCGCTCCCCCTCGCTCTCAGCCAGTAGCAGCACGGTGCAGGTGGTCGGTGGCACTGTTAGCTGGGAGGCTGTCACCTGTGGGTGGGAACCCAGGCCACAGGGCTGCAGGACAAGACCCATCCTGCCCTCCTCCCTCCACTCCTTCACCAGCCGAGGACTGTGCGCTTGCTGGGTGTAGTGCTAAGCACAGGACAGCAGAGGATAAGCCAGACAATACGGTCAGGCAGGCACTCAGCTGGCCCCAGGGCCACAGGGGGAAGGACAGGCATTGTGCAAATACAAAGTAGGGCCCTACCCAGGCCCAGGGGACAAGCAGCTAACCAGGAGTTGGTCAACATGGTGAGCTCAGGCCTGGGGCTGGCAAGTCCGCACAGGGGAAGAGAATATGAAGAACCAAAGAGGGGGCAAGCATGAGCACAAGGCACTTTGGGAACTGGAGAGGTACCGTGTGGCTGGAGCAGAGAGGTGACAGGATAGAGGGTTGGGGAGGTCTGTGGGGTCAGATCCATGGTGACAAAGGCCCCAGCCTCAGAGCCCCCTGAGGGCAATGGGAAGCTATACAAGGGCCCTAAGCAAGGCAGGACAAGGCCAGGTTCCTGCAAGGCAGCCCAGGAGCCTGTGTAGCCATTCACAAGGAGACGAACTGGACTGACCAAGGGGGCAGCTATGGCCAGAGTGGGGACGGCAAGGTGGACAGTGGTTGAATCCACCCTGCCCTAAGTACTCACCCTAAAGATGCGTGGCAGGTCCCTGGATTGGGCATGGATAACATCTGGGGCCACGACTGGAGTGGCTGAGAACTGGGGATCCCTGGGAGGGGCATGGAGCAAGTCAGAGATTGCACTGTCCCTGGCTGCCCACCTCACCCAGTAGTCACTTACCCTGTCCCACTGCCCGGCACCTACCTTAGGTCCAAGGCCTGCAGGAGGGCCCCACTGGCAGGGCTGACCCTCGGATCAGGTGCATCAAACAGCAGTAGGCGTGAGTCACTGAGGGCAGCATATACCCGCTGCCAGCCCCGCCGGACGCCCGAGGGCCGCGGCACCTTTGGGAAGTAAGCATGGGAGGGCTGCGCGTGTCCTCAGCCCCTGTGCCCATCTTCCCTCTCCCCCAAGCCCCAGCTCACCGACAGGAAGCCCTCATAGGCAGTGCCCGTGCCTGTCTCAGGGTGCACTCCCAGGGCTGTGCGGAGGAGTTCAGGGGGCACAGGGCAGGGTGGGGCCTGGAGGGCGCAGGTTGAATGACAGAAGTAGCCACAGGCTGCAGGGGAAGCAGAGGAATAGGATGGTGTGAGGCTGGGTGGTGACAGCCCAGACCCAGGATTTGGGCCTTCCTAGCCCCCATTCCCTTGAGGCCACAGTGGCACCTCAACTACCACCAACTGCCCATCAAATGAGAAAAGAAAAACTTGAGTGGTGGGAAATTTGGCCAGGAAGCACCAATGACCCTTGTTGGAGACAAAGAGCCTGGGGGTATCAGGGCCGCATCCCTCGGGCCTGGGGCCTAGCAGGGGAAATGGGTGAGTATGGAGTATGGGGTTCTCACCATCACAGGCCAGGCCCTGGCGGCCCAGGCCCAGCATCAGTGAGGTGCAGCGGAGACACTTGGTAGGGGACGAGAAGTTCCGGAGACGCAGTGCGTGTGAGCCAGGCTGCAGAGGAGGGACACGCCATCACCCATGCCTGCCACGCCCAGGGCTGGCTCTATAACCATCTGAGGCGTCAGGCAGGCAGACAAGGATTAACAGTGTCACAGTGCCCACTCTGAGGCCCAGTGGGACTATGGCAGTGCATTTGGCTGCTGCCGCCACCACAAGCGCGGTCTGCCTGTGGTGATGTCTGTGAAGAGTCCCAACATGTGCATGGAGAGTGGCAGAATGGATTGGAGTCCCCATCCCACTTTGCCTCTCAAAGCACTGACCTTGGCAGGAGGAACTTCTGCAGGGGCAGTGGTGGCAGCAGGTGCTCTGGGGAACACAGCCTGCAGGAGGGACCTGAGTAGGTGAGACAGGCACGGGGCAGGGACATGGCCCAGCCCCCACTTATGGAATCCCCCATCCTCACCCCCATGCGCAGGCTGCGGCGGCCCTCCGGCTTCAGCTCTGGCTCCGCCCCAGGCCTTGGGGCCTCTCCTGAGATGCCAGTGTCCTTGGCTGAGTCCTTCTGGGGATGGGAGAGGGAGGGACAATAGTCACGGCCTCTGCCTCTCCCTAGGACTCCTGCTCAGCCAGTCCCTCTATCTGGTTCTCACCTCTGCGTTCCAGAAGGACAGGAAGGGGATGAGGGAGTTTGAGGGCTTGGTATCTGCAAATAGAGAGCATGGGTCACTGGAGGTGGGATTCCTGGCCTGAGGAAACAGAGGCGGCAATGGGGGAATCTCAACTCCCAGCTTCGTCAGCAGGGAAATGACCACAGGCCAGGAGGGAGGGGAGACGGCACACAGCAGGTGCTCAGTAAGTACTGGGCAACAGATGCTGGGCTTAGTTGCTGAGTGTGGGCAGACTTTTCTCTCCACAGCCCAGCCAGGCTGTCATGGGAGCCTCCTAGTGACCATGAGGTCAGGGTGGGAGACTGGCTCCCAGGCAGGTGTGCTATGGCCACTCACCACCTGCTGCAGGGCTCCGCTCTGCTTCTCAGCCTCCTGCAGGCGTCTGGGGGGAAGCGAGAAAAGGCTTACCCCAGGCCTCCACGTGGGGCCCGGCCCCCAACCCTGCCTGCCACTGGCCTCACTTCTCAGACTGCAGCTGGGCCTCCTGCACCTGTGTCAGCTGCTCCTGCAGATTCTGCTTGGCACGGATCTCAGCCTCCAGCGCTGACTGCAGCTCCAGCCGGGCAGAGGCCTCCATCTTTTGTAGCCGGCGCGCCTTCCACTGGTGGTCCTGGTGGCCACAGGGCAGCCTATAAGATGCCCTCTGGGCTTGGCTGCCTTAGAACTCCCTCTCACCAGACCACATGCTGCCTGTGCCACCTAGTCAGGTCCAAAGCCCTGGTTCTGCCACTCCCACCCCCACAGTGCAAATCTGGGGCTCACCAGAGGCCGGGTAGGGAGCGTTTGGGTGCCCACATTCCGCAAGGATTCCAGCTCTTCAGCCATCTTGGTGGCCAGGGCCTGCAGGTAGCCTCTAGAGACCTTCTCATCATTCACCCTGATTGGGAAGGGCTCAAGGTCATGGCTTGGGCCCTCAGCCCACCTGGAGCCCACCTGGGACCCACCCGGCCTTGGTACCCACCAGCTGAGGATGTCTGCGATTTGGGCCTCCCAGTTGCTCTCGGTCTCCCGCCGCTCTCCCTCCAGCCGCTGCTTGCTCTGCAGCTCCTGTTCCAGCTCTTCTGCCAGCTGGTGCCAGGTGGAAGATGGCCTCAGTCCTCAGGAGGCCTAGCAGCCCTGGCTGTCTGCCAGCTCCCTAACCCCTGCCAGTCTCCTGACAGATGTCCCGACCACCCTGAAGCCCATCTCCGTTCACCCTTCTCACTTGCTACAGCGTGCCCACCAGCTGCGTCGCTGGCAGCTCTGCCCACCTACCCGACCAACACTCGCCCTGTCCTGCCTGTCAGTCGCCCAGTCCTCTCTGTCCACCCTGCTCACCCGCTCCTGCTCCTGGCTCAGTCGCTGGTTCTCCTCCTGCAGCCGGCACAGGGCCTCGTCCTTCTCTACAGGCCTGGCGAGGAAGAGGCAGAGGTGGTGGTGACACCCAGCGAGGCCCGGGCCAGCCCTTCCCACCGTCCCTGCTGCCTGCTCACCCACGGCTGCGGGCCTGTTTCAGCTGTTCCTGCAAGGCTGCCACCTCCTTCCTCAGCTGGGCCTCCTGAGGTCCACCTTCAGGCAGGCCTGTGCCGTTGGTCTCAGAGGCTGCGTGGACAGTCTTGAGGATGTGGAGGAGGGGTCAGGTAAGGCGGGCCCGAGCAGCCATGGCCCACTCTACCACAGGACAGGGGCTTGGTCAAGGACCCTGGTGGGAGTGCCTCTGGCCAGGGGTTGAAGCCTCACTACCTTGGCTGGGGAAGACTTCTTCTCAAGACTTCGCTCCCATTGTCCCTGGAGCTGTGCCACCTCCTGGCGCAGGGTAGCCACCTGGCCTTCCAGCTGTGAGGGGGTGCAATCAGGCCAATGCTGGCCTTGCCACCCAAATCCCTCTACCCCAACTTGACAGATTCCCAGGCTCTGCCAGGCACAGTGGGCTGGAGGAGGAAGTGGGTTCCCAGACACTCTTCCCCACCATGGTGCCCTGGCTCAGCTTCCACCAGCCACATGTGGGACACAGAGGCATATGGTATTCCCAGCTCCTTGAACCAGGCTCTGCAGGCTTCCTCCTGAACACAGGCATAGGGCCCATTGCTGTTCCTTCCCGCTCCTGTCACCCACCTCCCTTTGGGCATCCCAGGCTTCCTCTAGCTGGGAGCTCAAGGCTTGGATCCGGCTGGCTGAGGCCGCCTCTCTCTCCTGGGCCTCCTGTAGCTGCTGCAGCAACTCCTCCTGCCGGTCCTGGACTCTGCGCAGCTCCTGACCCTGCACCTGCAGCCCTGTCTGAGCCTCGGTCAGCTCCTAGGGAGTGAGGGATGGGGAGCACGAGGTCAAGTCAGGGCACAGACCCCTGTAGTATGAGCCCAGGCCACTCACCCCCCCTCACTCGGCTTTCACCTGCTGGAGCCGATCTTTCTCCTGCCACAGGTCACCGTCTTGGCTTAGGCTACCAGCAGGAGCCCCATCCATCTGGGACAAGTGGGCCTTGCTGTCTCTTAGCATCTCTGCAGGAACAGTCACTGACACCCGCATGTACTGACCTCCCCAGCCTCGGGGTACTCCACCACAGGATCTCACGGAACCTTCCCCGCAGCCCAGGGGGTGGGTCTCCCAGGCATATTTTCCACACAGAGGCTCAGAGCCTCTCTTCCAAGACCATATGGCATGGGCAGAGCAGGTGCAGGATGGGGATACAGGGAGGACACGGCCTGCGCTGGGAAGGGGGAGCAATACCTGCCAGCCTCCCCTGCAGAGTTTGCACTTCTGTCCGTAGCCGCGCCAGCTCCTGGTGGTCTGAGTGGCCGTGCAGGGCCTCTGGCAGGGAGGGCCCACAGTGAGCAGCTCGTCCTGCAGCAGCAGCCCCCAGGGCTGGAACCCTCAGCCTGACCCAGCTGCCCCTTACCTTGGTGCTTCCAGCCCAGCTCCACCTTCTCCTGCTCCAAACGGCAGAACTTCTCCAGGGCAGCCCCAGGTTCAGATTTGCTCTCAGAAGCGGAACTAGAGGAGGACAGGGCAACTCGTACCAGAAACTTCACCCCCAAAGCCTCCTCCATCCTCCTGCTTCCATTCATCCTAGAAATACCCACTGAATGCCAGCTCCATTCCCAGGACTGGGCTCTGTGCCAGCGAGAGAGAGAGATCAACCCAGGCTTTCAGGAGACCCTGGGCCATCCTGGCCCTCACAAGCAGGGTGACCTGGACAGTCATTTATCTGAGCCTCAGTTTTCACACAGCAAAATGGAGGCCCAGGTAAGATGGGCCCACTGGCCCTACACCCAGCACACAGTGGGTCTTCAGCATGTACTGCTCAAAGCACTCCTCCCATCTCACGGCACTTTACACTGGGCCCTCACTTTAGTCTTGGGCCAGCCCCAGAAATGGACATCCTCCCATCCATTTTACAGAGGTACAGATTGATGCTCAGGAGAAGCAGGAGCCCTCCAAACTTCAAGTCTCTCCTCTGAGTCCGATGTTTTCCAAGCCTGCCATGTAGGGCATCATGAAGGCCACATGCTGGCATGTGGCTGCAGGATATGGGCATGGCTTGGCCTGGACCCTAAGGATGTGAGGCTCACTGCCACATGCTGGTTCTGGGAAGTCATTCCAGCCCTTTCTCAGGCTCTTGATGAACAATGCCCCCAGCTTCCCAGCAGGTGTGTGATGATAGACTCACTGGCTGGAGGTATAGGTGAAGCCCACGAACGGCAGGTGGTGGCCTGAGAAGGCCCCATGGGAGGGTGGTGGCAGGGTACCCTGCAAGAGAGGGAAGGAGAATCAGAACCAGCAGGCACAACTCCAGGCTGACGCTCAAGAACCAGGAGACCCCAGAAACGGGCATGTCAACCTCTTCCTGCTCAGACACGAACCCAGGGGGACAAAACCAATCACATCTCCCCTAAGTCCTTGAGGCTGTGGTGTTCAGGGGCTGCTGGGAGTTCTCTTCTGGTTAACAGGAAGACCCAGCTTTCATGTGGTACATCCACCTCAGTGCAGGAGAGCCAACCAGGTGAACCCTAACCCTCATGAGCCCCCAAAGGCCTCACCCAGGCCAGCAACTGTTTAGGGAACCTCTGGGGAGTCTCACAGCCCTCATAGGGCAGGGCAGCCCCCTCCTGCAGTGGCATGTGCCACTCACTGGATGGTTGAGAGTGTCGTCATCCACATCAAAGTTGGAGGTGTCCATAGGCCCTCGAAGCTCAGGGATATAGGGGGCAGTGCTGTTCGCCAGGCGCTCCCAGTCCACGCCTTGGAAAAAGGGGTGGTTCCGGAAGTCATCCAGCCCGCCACGACCCAGCCGCTCCTCCTGGCGGCACAGCAGCCGGCGGATCAGGTCATGGGCACTGGCTGGCACATCAGGCACATCTGAGGGGAACTGCAGGTGGTCCTGTGGGCCAGAGCAGGCGCCAGGCAGGTCAGGCCAGGGGCCCACCTTGGCCTGCAGCTATTCCACTGTCTCCCCAGAATCCCAGGGTCCAGTGGCCAGACCTCATGGTTCATGATCTTGCCATAGGTTTCCACCAGGGATTCAGCATAGAAAGGTGTTTCCCCGAAGAGCAGCTCGTAGGCGCAGACTCCCAGGGACCACCAGTCGCACTGCGGGCCGTAGTGGCCCTTGCCCTCCTCCATGGCCTGTAGGATCTCAGGGGAGATGTAGTCTGGTGTCCCTACTGCCACCGATGAATCCACCTGTGGGTGTTGGTGTCAGATGCTATGAGGATACTTTCAGCTTGGCTGGGCCTGCTAGGCCCTCACCCGGGCCTGGGGCCACACTCCCCAGAGGCGGGCTGCCCTGGTGCCCCCTGTTCCCCTGAGAATTTGATCCCTCCAGTTCCCACTCTGGGCGTGGTCCTTACCATGCCACTGTTGTTGAGACGCAGGCAGGAGCCGAAGTCAGCCAGGCGGATGTGCCCGTTCATGTCCAGAAGGACATTGTCTGGCTTGACATCCCTGGAGGGGAACAGGGAGAGTGAGGGATGGCTCCACGTGGATGCCCATTTAAGGCGTGTGTCCAGGTGCCACCTGCTCTACCCACGTGTGTTCCTGAGGGCACTCAAGGGCCTAGTGTGTGTGTGCGTGCATGCAAGAAGAGAGAAGGCTGGTGGCCAGGAGGAAGATGGTGGTTACCTTGGGGAAAAGTCCCACAAGAATGGCCCTAGGACAAGCTGCAGGGGATGCAGGGCTACCTGCAGACCTGGCCACCCCTTGCAGACCTCAGCTCTACCACCCGCTAGCTGGGTCATCTTGAACTGAGGGCTTGCCTGTGCTTAGCTATGGCTTCTTTCACTGTGAAAGGGACATACTGCATCCCCACCTCAGAGGGCTTTTTGGAAGGAGGAGTCAAGAGAAACTTACAAAGTACCCTGCACAGTGCTGGGTACATGGCAATGCCATACCCCGGCAGTCACCAGGGACTGGCCGGGCAGCGGGGGCCTTGAGGGCCTTACCTGTGGACATAGCCCAGCTGGTGCAGCGAGTGGATGGCCAGCACCATCTCAGCCAGGTAGAACTGAGCAAGCTCAGGGGGAAGGCGGTCCTCAAAGCGGCTCAGCAGCGTGAGGAGGTCCCCGCCAGCATAGTAGTCCATCACCAGGTACTGCCCAACGTGCAGGGAGAATCAGAATAGGAGGAGCGGCCCCCTGGGGCACTGGGAAGGCAGGGCCTGGCCTCCAGAGAGCTCAGGGGTGGCCAGCTCCCAGCCAAACTCAGCAGGAGGCTCTCGGCCCAGGAACTGGTGAGAAGAGGCTAAGTCCTGGTCTGAGTGGACCCAGTGCCCTGGCCCCCAAGGGGCTTCTCCTTGTCCCCAGGCAAGATCTGCCCCCACTCCCAAGTGTCCTACCAGGTACTCCTCGTCCTGGAAGGCATAATGCAGAGCAGTCACCCAGCGGCTGTCCCCCTTCACCAGAACGTCCCGCTCCTCCCGGAAACAGGCGGTCTGTAACAGGTTTGGGGGAGCAGAGAGCAGTTAGGATCAGAGCCTAGGAAAGACCCTGATCAGTTCGGGGGATGGTGAAGGACTCATAAGCCTCGGGGCTGAGATTGAGGGTACAGCTCTGCTCTGCCCCAGGCTGACCTTGGATGAGCCAAACCCATGCTTTAAGGCTCTGGGCCTCTGTTACCTAGAGAAAAGTGGGAACAACTCTGCCCACTCTTCAGAAAGGTTTACTGTGCCAGGCGAGGTAGCCCACGCCTGCTATCCCAGCAACTCAGGAGGCTGAGGCAGGAGGATCGCAAGTACAAGGCCAGCCTCAGCAACTTGTCAAGGCCCTGAGCAACTTGGTGAGACCCTGTCTCAAAATAAAAAGGGCTGGGGATGTGACTCAAGGCTTATTGTGAGGAAGGGACATGAGATGGGTGGCTGTCGAGGATGGAATCCTTTGTCGGCTAGACAGCCAGGTCCTGCCCTGCCCCTTCCCCTGAGTGCCTCGTGGGTCTTGCTGGCAGCACACGCTTCCTCTGCCCATCTGTAGGTTTCCCGAGACCAGAGCCCACACTGACCTCGGCCCTCTTCAGCATCTCCCACTTGTGCAGCATTTTCATGGCAAAAATCTGCCCACTGTCCCTCTGCCTCACCACAGCAACCTGAGGACACAGGGAGAAGTGGGGTCAGCCAGGTCAGGTGCAGATCCCCTGTCCCCTCCCACCCACCCCAGGCCCTTTGCTCACCTCCCCAAAGGCCCCTCGGCCGATCACCTTCAGGATCTCAAAGTCATCTCGTTGTAGACGGAGTTCTTTCACCTTGGTTACAAAGGGACTGGCTGAGGGGACAGAGCAGGTAGCTCAGTGAGCTGTGAGAGGGCCAGCTTCCTCTCTCACCTTGGGAAAGCTGGGAGGTGCCACTCCCATGAGGCCAGGGCAGGGAGGACCTTCCCAGGGACAGCCAAGGGGCTGATAAGACCTGGAGCCCGTGCAGCATTGGCCAGGAAGCTGCAGGGGAAGGTCCTGGCTCAGCAGACTCCACCTGGCCCCCACCTCCCTGACTCCAGGCAGCCTCCATCCCTGACAGGACATGTAATCCTCCCAGCCTGGGGCCTAACCCTGGTCGGCCAGGTCACCCTGGGGAGGATGAGGACACCATTCCCACCCCCGGCTCACGGTTCTTGGCCCCTAACAGGGTCAGCCAGGGGCCTGTATTGGGAAACTGGACAAGTGACATTCCTTGTCCCCAGAGAGGCTTCTCTACCATTCAGGAACTGTGAGCCAGGGTCTAGGGTCCCTGTAGGTGCAGAAGTACTGGGCTGAGGTGAGGTGGGGCAGCCTGGAGGGCAGGGAGGGTTCTGCGAGGTTATGGGAGGAGGTCTGTGTTCCCCAGTGGGGCGCCCTGGTCTGGAGACGTAGACACCAGTCGTCTCAGGTGCTCACAAGACTCAAAAACAGGGCCACAAACCCCTTTCTGGCACCCGAGGGTCCCCTCCAGGCTGACCAGCCCTGCTGCTCTGAGTCCTCTCTCTCTCTCTGGATGGGGCTTGTGGCTGGCCAAGAGCCTCCCCCTGTGTCACAGTCTCTGATAGCTCCAAGAGGGACACCTCCAGTCACTCCCAGGCCCTCTCCAGGCTGCAGGCCCGGGGCCAGGGGGATTGGGTCTTTGGAACAGAGGGAGGGAAGCGGGAGCAGCCAGTCAGGATTGGGGGCAGCTGCGGTCTGGCGCCCTGCCTCAGTTTCCCCCTGCCAGGAGGTGAACTCCCTGCCAGCTGGGCGGGCCTGTGGGTGGGACGGAGAGCTGCTCCACAGGTTTATCAGGCAGAACCCCCGCAGTGGGGGTGGTGTGGAAACCTCATTACAGAAATTAATTGTCTCTTTCCCAGGTCTGTGCATGGAGCTAGGGAGGAGCCGCCACAGGCCTCCAAGAGGGAACGGAGGCCAGGGCAGTTCCCCGCCAGCCAGATGGGCCAAGGCTTGGGGTCCAGAACCGGGAGGACCCACGCCCCCAGGACAGGAGGCTCAGTGCCCCAGCCTTGCCACAGGGGATGGGGGCTCTGGGCAGGAGCAGAAGCAAGTTAGGGCAGGAGAGGAGTGAGTCACGCCCTTGGAGTTACCTCGGGAGATGTCAACAGACAGGCCCCCACGCTAGGGTCCTAGGCAGAGATGCCAGGCACAGGTTAGGGAGGAGCACACGCGTGTGTGCAAACACACACACACACGTGGGTGTGGGCATTATGGGGGAGGGGTGTGTGATGACAACACAGTCAGAAACACTAGCATAATATGCGCGAGTCCTGGGTAGACCAGCAGGCAACAGGGGCAGGGCCCTGACTGCCCCCACCCCAGATGCAAGGAGCAAGTCTAGGTGGCAGGCCTCCGACAGTACCAGGTGGAACCCTGAGCCTGTCCACAGCTCAGGAGCGCCAGGAACGCTAGTCACCCACTGGGCAAACACCCCACCTCACCCCACCCTCCAGGCTGGGTCCCCATGTCCTGGCCAGGTGTGACCAGGGAACCCTCAGGCTGGCGCCAGTGCCCACGCTGGGTTCAGGGTCACCCCCTTGCCAGCCACTCCCAGTGATTCAGATGAGTCAACCAGGAAAGGGCGCAGACCCACCTCCAGCCAGGTCCCCCTCTCTAGCCCTCAGGAACAGCCCTCAGGAGGCACATTGCACATAGGGGGAGTCCAGGCTGGGTGGACTGTGTGCAGGGTGTGGGGTGTCTGCCAATATGAGCACCTACAGGTCTGAGGGATCCAGGTGTTCCACGGCACGGCAGGCAGGGCTCCCTGGGTCCCTTCATGAGCAGCATGTGTCTCAATGTGGGGGTGAGGAATGAGGGAGACTGAGAAAGCCTGTGTGTCTGTGTGACACGCAGAGGGGTCCTGGCTGGGGCAGGAATCTCGTATATAAGGTTGAGGAGAGTGTGTATTAGGTACATACGTCTGCGGTCTACACCTGGGGACAAGTCTGTGTGTGACTGTGTTAAGTACGTGTTGTGTATTTGCTGAGGTCTGGGAGTGGGAACCAGTGTGTGTGAGTGACGTTGAGGTGTGCAGGTGAGTCAGTTGGTCAGCCCTGGGGTCCGGGGACACGTGT